ATCATATACTCTGGTACCTTCAACCGTAGTAACTGTGGTGCGTGTCATTTTTATCAGTTTCCAACCATGCGACAAGAGGATGACCATCTACCCAGGTTAGCAAACAAGTGTGTAATCATGTTCCCAAGGTTCAGGGTAGTGCCTTCAGTATGAAGGCCTCATGCTGAGCATTAAATTTGAGCAAGCTGGTACTGGTATATCTTTACAACCTTATGTCAAGTGAAAGAGGCGCCTGGTGTTAGGAGTGTATAACCTTTGTATCTTCATTACACAAGACATCTGGAACCTATAGTAACAACCAATCAACTATACAAGAAACAATGATGGTTTAATCCATTGACCGTTTTCTCCATCATAACTGGAGTAATTATCAGTTCGCAACCAAAATGCCATGACTTCAGGAAAAAGAACACACACATGCCACAAAGAAGCATGTTAAGGCTTTTGTTCCACTCAGCTTTTTTTTTTCTTCAACCTGCTGAATCATTTTTGTTATTTTCCATTTAGTTATCAAGTCTTTCACCGCCCATGTCCAGATTCTTCCTGCGTAATTTACCATAACCAGACTAGCGTAATTGCATTGATGCTCTAGATCAAAATATCAAAGTTGGCTATGTTTTTCAAATTCAAACTTGGCATCTTCGATTGTATGTTGATTGTGCCTGTGCTCTGTATTTTTAAGCATATCCAGGCATAAGTATCATTCTATATATCTATCCTTAGATCTATAAACCATTTATTTTAACAGCACGCAAGCTTTTGCTGTTACAAACTTAATCAAAGTTAACCTCTCTACAGGTTTTGGATTTTCTACAGGGCTAAGCAGGACGGCGCTGTGCTCTTGGTATTGCTCTATTCTATTTCGGTTTTCGTCCTTCCACTCTACACATGTTCTTGATTTACTTGCATACATGGTTAATGATATCAATGTTTTCAGGGTATGCGTCATCCTTGGGATGGCCATGATGATCACGCGCATGGTCATGGACATGCACACGAGCATGAGGTATTGGCTTCAGATCACACCTCCACTCTTTTTGTATGGGCTTTTGTCCTTTAACTTTCTGTGAACGAATTGAATTGGTTGCTCCTGTTTCGTTCCTGGTCTTGTTAACAGTCTGTTTGTTATCTTGTCAACTTGATCTGACTGTTCTTCTCTTTTGCTATGAATTGCTTTGTATTGTTGTTTTCAGCAGTTTTACTTTTCATAATGTGAGAACCGTAGTAGTAGAAATATTGCAAGATTAGAGGAATGTTGGTTTCTGCATATCTTATCATCTTCAATGTTATCAAGTTTAGAGACTTATTGACAGATCATTACAACTCAGGAAAGCAAATTTATCACGTGTTGTGAGTTGCATAATCATTTTTTAAACCTTGCTGCATAATCATTTCAATGGCATGCTATGTTTATGCGTGTCTGTAGGGAGTTAGAGCTACCAAGTAGTGGTAGTCGATGTTATACATCCTCTTGGTAGTTCCTAGACAGTTTATCAACTGAGGTCAAAGTTACGTTTTTCTTATCTAGCATGCCTAATTGATTATGTTCATGATAAGCCAATGCAACAACGTCTTTCTTTTGTTTGCCTTTTGAGAGATAAACATCAGAGCTAATGCACCCTGGCCTGTTCTTTCATGCAGGCTTCATCGTCGTCATCGCCGTCCCATTGAGCTCAACGCTGAAAGCGGCTGACAGAGACCCTGACACGTCGCATGTTTCGACGCAAGTCTCTGCTAATAAAAAACAATCACAACTATCATTGTTCACCCCTGTTGTTTGCGAGTATATTTTTTTTTGGCACACAAACTGGCTTTGTTATGTATTTTGGTTTGGAGCTGTGGCGTCGGTGGGAATGCTCCGGCGTGCATGTGTTGTTGCTTATTGTGATAGCTGCAGCTGTTGTCGCACGCTCTGAGAAATCCTCTGACAATATATGTATCCCGTTCGAGTAGCGCATTGCAAACATGTCTAAGCGTTACTGCTGTTTAGCACTCTTAACTTCCAGTAGTAGTTAGTGCCTCGTAGCAAGCATGCCTAAGCCAGCCCAGGTGTTCAAGCTCCTGCAGCCGGCTGTTTCTATTGGTGATGATCTGTGCCCCCGTGCCATGGCAAATATACTTATTTTGCATATGGGTGGTGTTGGAGCGAGCTGCCTATAGCCTGTTAAGTCTGGCCGTCTGGTGAACTCTGCAGCCCCTGATGCAGTTGTGCGTGCGTGCATCGATCTCTGCAGCTCCTGATGCGGATGTGCGTGCGTGCATCGATCGTACTAGCAACTACTCCATAAATAGGAAGTGACTGAATCCACGCATGCAATGCAGAGCTTAGTGGATATATCACCAAATAATAGTATGTATATACTCTATGATTCTGAATCCTTAATGTAACATCTAGTAGTAGCTGCTATCAATTCAAAAGAAATGAGGCGGTTTATTATGTGGAAACTGGGTCAAAATCATGATCCAGTTTATGTGAAAAACTGGATCAAAATTCATATAGCTCGAGGGGCAATACATCTTGCGGAGGCAAGAAACATGAAAAACACACACACAACAAAACACCGGGCACCAGCTACAACACAACACAAGGATGAGCTATCTAAGATGAAGGTGGTTGGGTGATGCAACACCGGTTATGTCATAATCGCAAACAAAACAACACTAGCAAAAGAGAGGTGTTCAGCCAACACACATCAGCATCCGCTCCAAGCTTCAGCGGTAGCCCGCATTAGGGCCGTCGAAAAGGGTCGTATGCTTCAGCGGTAGCCCGCATTAGGGCCGACGAAAAGGGTCGTATGCTTCAGCGGTAGCCCGCATTAGGGCCGTCGAAAAGGGTCGTATGCTTCAGCGGTAGCCCGCATTAGGGCCGACGAAAAGGGTCGTATGCTTCAGCGGTAGCCCGCATTAGGGCCGTCGAAAAGGGTCGTATGCTTCAGCGGTAGCCCGCATTAGGGCCGTCGAAAAGGGTCGTATGGTAGCCACTGTTGAAGTAGTGCCCCGCTTGTCCTCCAAAGGGAGTGCTGCCGCAAGAGAACGAGATTTTTGTAAAATTATTTGTATGTTCTTATCTATGCTGTCATTTGGTCATTCTTTTTTAATAATGTGCATCATTTGGTATAGAGGTTAATATCTTCGTATTAAATAGCTAGAGATGAGATAAAGGATCCCAGATTCTTATTGCTCTAGCACATGTCTCATTTGTTCAGTGTGAAATATACAACCTCCTCGACTGGCTCTAATGGAATGATATGACCACTCATGTTTCCTCAACATATTTAGGAATGAGAGGCCCCAGGAATACTGGAGGAAGCAGCACGATTCGACACTGAGAATATCATGTTTTGGGTTTAGTCTGTTTTGTTTATGTTTTTCTATGCGTTCGGTCTTAGGATCTGCAATACAATGGGGCTGTTTGGTTTGTAACTAAGTTTGCCAAAGGTTGCCACACTAAGGTTAGACAAGTTTGACCAACTTAGATGAGTGGTTCAAGGCACACCTTAGGTAAGCCACACTAGGGCCCCACATGGCATACACACAAAAAGTATGGCAAAATTCTCTTAGGCTTGCCAACTTGTGGCTCTCATTTTGTTTAATTAACTTTAGGCAAGCTTGACAAAAATGTGTGGCAAAGTGTGGCAATGCAAGGCCTAAAACCAAACAGCCAATGTATATCAGTTGGGGCAGAAGCAGAACATTACACAGTTCTAGGAGAAAACAGGGTTTAGTGTCTAATTCCTGACCATCTTTGCATGTTCTTGAAAACACAAGACATGTCATTCTACCAATACAAATTAACTTGATTACTTTCACTTCGAAACAAGTCCAGGCGGTGGTGAATTAACTAGTTTCCTCATCAGCACGAGGAATGAAGCTCCATTTCCATATCATACAATATTTTTTTTTACCATTATCTCATGCTACATCAACTATTTTATCACAGGCCTGGTTAACAGAATCGACTGCTTCTAGCCGTTGATAAATGTCTCGTTAAAGACACCTATCCCCAGATCTCCTAATCTTTTAAATTAATCTCATTAAAAGTTCAATCTAAATGAAATTGTTAACTGATCCTAGTCTTAAAAATTATCTCACCAAAAACACCTACTCAGATTTCCTGATCTAAATGTTCCTACAAGGCAACCCATTAGTCAGCGAGGGACAAAAGGTTGCAAAATACAGTTAGATTGTCCCTTTGTTACAAGTTACATTTTTCACATGGTCCACACTGCAAGAACAACATAATTAGCAGCAGGCAAGACGTTCATCTGAAGCACCTTCAAATAAACTGCCATTCATGATATCTGCATCACCCACATAAAAGTAAAGAGTTAAGAGTCATGGATTATCACAGATGTAAACAAAAGCCTATTGTTTGCCAATGTTTCTCCCCATTGGTGTTCATCTGGCTGTGTTTTCCATATCTTATTTGAAATGGACAATAATTGTGAAGATTATACAAGGTGCAGACGTCAAAGAGTTGCAAATGGCATACGACGATTTCGAAAGAAACATCACTAAGTAAACTGCGAGTGATCTTTTTCAATAGTTCATTGTGTTCCAATTAATCACCATATGGTATGGTCAAAGTGTTGGTAAACTGCAAACCGTATACGACTAGTGACTACATTATGAATTTATGATGCAAGTCAGGCCTAACCAGATCATGCCACATAGTATAGAAAGTCAGCAGGCCCATCATAACTGATATATTAATACCACTAGAGATGCCAATCAAAGGAAATATCTAACTGTACTTCTCAAGTCAAGTGAGACTGAAGAAATGAAATTGGCCCAGGTCTAAAACTGACAGTGGACATAAAGTAATGTCAGGGCAACCGGCCCTAACATCATATATTGTACAGATGCAGATAAAATTGTTCACAAAAAAAAGATGCAGATAAAATCAAATGAGACTAATATTTACAAAGTCAGGCAAAAGGCAGATCTTATTCTCTTGAATGAGTAATAAATAATTCACCAAAGGTTAAAGTATTCATCATTTAGGCTCCAAATAATAAAATAAAATCTAGGTTGACTTAAAAACACAAGCTCACTATGCAGCTTAAATCTGAAACATTTGAATTCATGTTTCACCGAAAGACAAAGAATTAAGAAAAGTAATACAAAATAATCAATTTATGCATCTACCCAACAGCAAATAAAAGTTCAAGAAGCACGTACCAATTGATCTGCAGCGGGTCTGGTGACGGAAATCTTTTGAGCCTCCTTCTAACAGAATATGACATTGATTGACAACAGAAGTAAGAAGAAAACCTGTAGCTAACTAAGTCCATTACCCATCTCATCGGTTTTGGAACTCTTATGCTGCCATAGGTAAGTCATGTTAACAGACCAACAAAATGTGCTGCAAGGAAATTTGTTGTACCAGGAAGCAAATAATAATTGTATATCACCTTGCTTTTTTTGTGCTTATGCATGTCTGCCGAATCCTCCGTCCCCTCATGCTTCCTCTTCTGAACAATTTGCGGACATATAAAGTATAGCTAAGTGATGAGTAAGACTTGGAGATACTGAAGTTTTAAACATAGAGAAAATGCAGCGACCTTCTCATGATGCTTATCCTTTTTCCTATCCTTGTCCTTGTCTTTGTCTTTAGACCGATCCTTATGTCGATGTTTGTGCTTCTTATGCTCCCTGTCCTTATCTTTGTCTTTGTGCTTTTTATGTTTTTTCTCTTTGTCCTTGGACTCACTTTTCGGTTTGCCCGAAATGGTAGGTATACCTTTTTCAGCCTGTTGATTGGTTTAATTGTCAAGTGTATGATAAGAAAATGCAATATAACACCATAAAGCAAGTAGGATGGCAAAAATGGTCTTACAGAGGGTAAATCTACTGGAGCAGTTTCTCGAAGCTGAAATGCTTGCCCCAGTGTTTCCATATCAAAGGGCTTAATATGAGGAGGCTTATCCCTTAAGTATGCATTCTGAACGAGTTGATCTAGCTCCATTCCTTCTCCTTTCCGAATTTCAGTGTCCCCCACTACATTGTGAAGGTAATGTGTATCTGAGATTGCAAGTGGCAAAGGCCTCTTGCAAAAGAAATCATGGTGCGGCTCCAATTTGTACTGACTTATTAAATCAACAGCACCAGTGAGCTCCCTAGGTCCTGAAATAGAAAGAGTCATATTATGGACTACCAGCATTGCATATAACCAAGGCAATTTGGAGAAGGATGCGCATCAAGAACCATGCCAGGAAAACGCACTCATGCATACAAGTACAATGGGCACTTATTTCTCTGGTAGGGTCCAATAAAGTAGCTTATCAGGGGGCACAAAAGACAATGTGGTTGTTCCATTGTTTTCGAGTCGCGCGACTAGTCGATGAGTCGCAAAAAAATGTCGACTAAACGTGTCGACTAGCGACTCGAGTTGCGACTAGTCACAACTGCAGGCTCAACTTTTTCCGAGTCGCTACCCCAGAATGACTCATCGACTTGAAAACCCCGTTGTTCAACATATAGACAAAAAAATGTCAACATGAGGAAATTTTGGCGGTTCCAGAGATGCTGCCAGCTTAAGGTATCAAATGTAGGGCCAAGATTGACTGTCCAAGTTTGAACGTCGAATCTATATTTCTTGTGCAATATTTTGCTGATGGCTACAAGATAAGAATCATAACTACAGTAATAGAGAAGTACTTATGTATACAAGTCGAATGGCATCAAATGTGTAACATAACCCAGTAACCCACATAATATTGGATTATTTATTATTGATTAAAACTTGAATCAGGGCGGTCAAAAGACAGAGAAAGAAACAAAGGGAATATCAGATAAAAAAGGACAGACCCAGTGCATAGAAGCTCCCACACAAGGTGGGGTCTGGGGAGGGATTATAGGAACCTAGTCTTACCCCTGCAAAGTGCAATGCAGAGAGGCTGGTTCGAACCCAGGACCTCTTGGCACAAGTGGGGAGGACTTCACCATTGCGCTAGGCCTGCCCTCAAAGGGAATATCAGATAACAAACACAAATAGGCATGGCAACATCACAGTACTTAAAAAAGGATATCAAGTAAAGTAGATGCTTAATGAAGCAGAGGATGCTCCCAACCGGTCGGTTTCATCTTCAATGGTGAGAAATCCTTTAAACTTCCAATAGTGTGTAGTATAAACATCCATAGTCAATTACAGAGGCAAAGTTCCCTAGCGGAGATGAATATGCTTGCCAATGCTACTTTTCTGCATTTTGACAAAAGCAGTACCTTTGCCAAACTTCTTGTCGTCAGAATCCATCAGACTGAAGCTCGACCTATGCACAAGTCATCTTAACCTGAAATTCCATTCGACAATATTTTACAACTAATGTTCGAAAGTGGAGGCAATCATTCTCAGTAAAAATTGTATGAGCAGCACTATCCCAATTTGCTTTGGGTTCTTTGACTTTCTCCATCTACCATTACCATTCACCATTCTCACATTAGCATTGAAAGGCAGAATTAAATAATGTAACAAAAATCTCCATATCGTAGCAAAGATTCACAGTACCAATATCTAGGAACAGGACCAATATATAGCACTGACGATATCAACAAGAAAAACCTGGCATCATTCATCCATCTAACAAATTAAACAATCAATCCATCCATCCATCCATCTATCCAATTGACACATCGATTCATCCATCCATCTATCCAATTTATAGCTAAAAAAAGAAGAAGAGAGAGTTGGAAGAGAGAGGATGGCTCACCGTGGAGGAGTGGAGGACTGGATGATCTGCAGCTTCGGGACGGAGGCGCCGTGGGCAGCCGGTGCAGAGGGGCGCGGCGGCAGCTTCCCGTTGTCCCGGCTGCGGCAGAGGGCAGAGGGGCAGACGGCGGCGTGGAGGAAGCTGGGCTGCGGCGGGAGTGGATCCCGGCGGCGGCGAGGCGGGGCCGGCGGCGGCGCTGGAACCCTAGCGCTGGCCCTGCTCTAGTTCGAGCCGAGCGAACAGATGAGGCGTCGAGGCAGGGGCGCTCGTTTTCTCTGTACAAGTCGTGCGGGCTCGGTGGCATTCTTGTGGTAATAACCTGTTGCAATAGGGGCACTCTGTTAACTCTTTTCTTTTGAGGGACTAGCCAAAATCCTCATATTCTGGGAAAATCCAACTATTTTGGAGATTTTGGATTGTATTAGGATTCTTTGAAGATTTTGGAGAGGCAATCAAGTTCTTTTGGCTAAAAAAATTTCAGACCGAGATTCTCCGTAATCTGCTCAAAAGAACTGGCCCCTACATGTGTGGTCACCAAATCCAGCCTTAAGAGCAACTTCAATGGGGCGACCCATTTCGTCTGTGGCCGTCCGTTTGGGTCGCCGCAGACAGAAAAGGCGGCCCAACGCGCCGACCCAAACGAATGCGCGTCCGTTTTTCGTCCGCGGACGTCCCATTCCCGCCGGACGTGCGCGCGCTCGCCTACTCCTGTCCTCGGGCCCGCTGGTCTATGGCACATTGGCCTCCCCTCTCACCCCCCCTCCGGCCAACAAGCAACCCTCGCCCCGCCTCCTCCGTCACCGATGCCGCCGCCCATTTTTGCCGGCGACTCTTCCAGCTGCCGCCGCCTCCACATCCGTCCAGCAACGCCGCCCCTGCCCCCCCGTCGCCCGCCGCCGCCGTTTTGTCGCCGGGGAGCAAACTGGTTCCCGCCGCCGCTTCCCCCACCGCACAGCCGCCCGCGACCAAGAAGACTCCTCGCCGCCCCCGCCACATCCGACCGGCACGCTCGTCGGACGCCGGCAGGGCAGCTAGCTGGTCTGTGGGCGCCGCGTCTCCCCTCGCCGGTCGTCTCCTTCTTCGACGCCCGCAAGCTGTTCGACAGTTTGCCAAGGTACGAAAATGGACTCCACCGGCGAATTCTTTTTCCACAATTTCCTTTGCGACTCCGACGATTCGTCGTCCGACGATGAGGAGGAGATATTGGCTGCTGTGTTGGTCCATCACCACCTCAACAACCAGCGGCCGTTGTTTCGTGGCTCCATTCCGGGCCACCTTCCGGCGTTGAATCGTAACTGAGAGAGCGGGCATTTCCTTCTCTGGAAGGACTACTTTGATACAACAAACTCGTTGTTCAAACATCACAAATTCCGCCACCGGTTCCGTATGAGTAGGCATGTTTTCAACCGTATTAGAGAGGGGGTGGTCGGCTATGATGGCTACTTCAAGTGCAAACAGGATGTCGTCAGCAAGATTGGTTTCTCCTCTTATCAGAACTGCATTGCCACCATCCGAATGCTTGCATGCGGAGTGCCCAGTGATCTCATTGACGAGTACGTCCGTATGAGCGGGTCTACATGCCTAGAGTCCCTGTATAAGTTCTGCAAGGCTGTGATTGCTGTGTTTGGCCCTGAGTACTTGAGAGAGCCGACAACTGAAGATACAACCCGTTTGTTGGCGATGAATGCCAGCAGGGGCTTCCCGGGGATGCTTGGCAGCATAGATTGCATGCCCTGGGAGTGGAAAAACCGCCCTTCTGCTTGGCAAGGGCAATATAAGGGACATGTCAGGGCTTGCACTGTCATACTAGAGGCCGTGGCGCCTCAAGATCTTTGGATCTGGCACTCTTTCTTTGGCATGGCTGGATCACACAATGATATCAACGTGCTTCAGCGCTCGCCGGTGTTTGCTAGGATCACACAATGTATCTTATTTTATTCGTTTGCAAAACTATGTGAAATATTTTTATTTGTATTTGGCTTGTAAAATTATACTATTTATTTGGGCGGCTAAACTATTTTGCTTGTTATTTCATTTCACAATATGTTTGAATACAAATCAATGTAAAATTGGGTGGCCAGCCGGCCACGCCTGCACATATGGGTCGGCGCGTTGGGCGCGCTGCCGACCCATATGAAAAACAAGGCGGAAACCGGACGGGCGGCCGACCCAAACGGACAAAAAGCGGACGAAATCGCCGTCCATTTGGGTCGGCCCGTTGGAGTTGCTCTAACACCCAGAGCGTGTTTGGTAGTGTTAGGGAAGGGGAATGAGAATTACTAGTGGGAGTTGGCTGTGGGGTTGAGACGTGGGAAACAGACTAATGGGGTTCTAACATTTAGTCCAGGTTGGAGCCAGCAACCGGGACTAAAGGGGTTCTGAAAGTTTCTTTTCTATTTTTTTCTTTTTTTTGTTTGTTTTTAGTTTCTACTTAAAATTGTTTATATCTTTTTGGGTATTTAATGTTTTTGAGTGATTCTTTTTGCATTAGATTTAAAATTGTGTCTAGTTTCTGTTTGTGCCATTAGTCTTCAAATTTGTATGATCTTAATTTGAATTTGTTCAAATTTACTTCAAACCCTAGATTGTGAATAATTTGAGTTTAAAATAGTTCTAAATTTAATTATTTTTGCTCCTAGTCACATGCTAGATTGTTGTCACAGTAAGATTTATTTGGTTATTTTTAGAATAATTTAAATTAGGATTTTAATTAAAACAATACTCTTTAGCTTATATAGTTGTTTTAGTCCTTTAATTGTTGTTTTCAATTATTTTTAGTTAGTTCTTTCTGTAGATTTTAACATGTTTGTAGTATGCTTCTGTTAGACTAAAGGAAATATGCCTTAGAGGCAATAATAAAGTTATTATTTATTTCCTTATATCATGATAAATGTTTATTATTCATGCTAGAATTGTATTAACCGGAAACATAATACATTTGTGAATACATAGACAAATAGTATGTCACTAGTATGCCTCTACTTGACTAGCTCGTTGAATCAAAGATGGTTAAGTTTCCTAGCCATAGACATGAGTTGTCATTTGATTAACGGGATCACATCATCAGGAGAATGATGTGATTGACTTGACCCATTCCGTTAGCTTAGCACTTGATCGTTTAGTTTGTTGCTATTGAAGGAAATATGCCCTAGAGGCAATAATAAAGTTATTTTTTATTTCCTTATATCATGATAAATGTTTATTATTCATGCTAGAATTGTATTAACCGGAAACATAATACATGTGTGAATACATAGACAAACAGAGTGTCACTAGTATGCCTCTACTTGACTAGCTCGTTAATCAAAGATGGTTATGTTTCCTAACCATGAACAAAGAGTTGTTATTTGATTAACGAGGTCACATCATTAGTTGAATGATCTGATTGACATGACCCATTTCATTAGCTTAGCACCCGATCGTTTAGTATGTTGCT